CCCCGAGGCTGTCCCCGCAGCAGGGGCCGAGCCTGGTGCCCCCAGGATGGCTGGGTCCTCGCTGGCCTCACGTCGTGTTGTACCTGGTGTGGGGGGGGGAGGCAGGGTGACGGGGGGGTCCCCCGCCACACTGGGGACAGAGGGACCCCCTCCCCCACTCACTGGTGCGACAGGTTGAGCTCTGGCCAAGCCCCCACGGACGCCAACCGCTGCTCCAGCGCCACGATGCGCAGACCGATGTAGCCCGAGGACAGCAGCAGGGCCACCATCCTGGGGGACAGGCCAGCATCAGGGGGACGGGGACACGGGGAGGTGTGGGGCAACCCCGGGGCTGGCAGGGCCACAGGAGAGCCCGCAGCGGGGACGGGGACCCAGGGGGAGTGTGAGCAGGTCCCTGGGGACTCACAGCAGGAGGTAGATGAGGATGACGGTGCTGAGGGGGCTCAGCGGCACGATGCTCCTGACCCACAGCGCAGTGTGGGGTCCCCCTGCCAGGACGAAGCAGAGTCAGTGCCTCTGGGCTGCTGGGAGCCCCAGTTTGGCCCCTGCGGTTGGTGGGGCAAAAGGACCAGCCCTGGGATCAAGCCCCAGCAGCATCCCCCTCCCCGAGCCCCCCCCGACCCACCCTGGGGGCTGCGTGGCTTTGCCGAGGGCACCCCCTCACCGCTGATCAGCGCCACCGCCGCCTCTTCATCCTCCTCCGCTGGCCTTGGGGTTGGGCTCGGGCCATCTGCGTGACACCGGGTGACATCCCGTGAGCGCCAGGGAGGGGACGGGGCGTCCTGTGGACCCAGCGGGGCACACGGGGCCACAAGGAGCCCATCCTGCCTTCCCTGGCGCTGCGGGACACACGTTGAGGTGGCCGAGGGCTGTGCAGCCCCTCTCGGACCCCCCGTGGCCAGGGATGGGGAGCAGAGCCGAGGGCGGGCAGAGACACAGGGGTCGCACAAGGAGGGGGGGGCTCTGAGCGTGCAAGGGACAGGGGCAGGCCATGGGGTGGCCACTTACCCGGCAGCTCCTGGAGGCCGTCGGTCCCCTGGGTGCTCTGCTCCAGGTCCGACTGGCTCGAGGTCTGAAAGAAGACAAGCCCCAGTAACGGTGCACGTCCCCCAAGGCACCCGCCCCACGGCCACGGGGACACAAGTGGGACCCAATGGGACTCGTGCCAGCCCCTGAGGGTCCTGGGGTCAACACCAGCCCAGGATGAGGACTCATCAATTCTACGTATTCCCCCCAAAAAGCCTTCCCAGGGACCAGGCAGCAACGCTGCCACCACATCCCAGCCCAGGGGCCCAGGGCCACGTCTCCCTCTCCCAAAATCATGGAATTGGGGAATGGTTTGGGTTGGAAGGACCTTGAAGATCATCCAGTTCCACGCCCTGCCCCGGTCAGGGACACAGGGAACTCCTCCTGCCAACCATTTCCCGACCTTACCAGGGACTTCCGAAGGATTTCCTTGGTGTTTGGAGAGTCCGGAGGGCTCCAGCTCTTGTCCTGGTCAAGGGGAGATGAAATGGGGTGGCGGGGGGGGGGGGGGGGCCC